GGATGGAGTCAATCTCTGCCTACCGAGTTTGGAGTGAACTCGCCTTTTGATCTACTTTTTCGACTGCAGAAACAAACCAAAGTCTGCTTTTGAGTAACATTGTGCGTTTTTATGCCCAGGATCGAAGCTCAGCCTATTTTCCCGGGCCACGAACCGTTTCTCGGCGTCGGCGTCTCGCATTCCGGACCTGCGTTCTCCACTCACGGGTGAGTGAATTCCTCTCCCACATCGGTCCCACCTGTCGGCGATCGTTGTGCCCAAGGCATCAGTCGTAGTTTGGTAGGAACTGGAAAGTGTTTAGTCTTCGAAGTGACGGAGTAACACTGGGCGGGTCTCAATTTGACTCTTTCATGCCCGGAGTGTCTGTTGTCTAGCTTGCTTTGGTAGCTTGATTATTCGTGGATTGTTCTTGGGAAATAGAAGTATCATATTTTCCGTTGTATAAGTTGTCGTGTTTTTCCAATATTTTTGTCAATGCTTCTTATGCTACAGTGCGACTTGTATGCATTTTTTTCTATAAGTATGGACCTTACCTGTAAAAGTTTGCCACGGGTGTTATATTTCTTATTCGATTCTTTGTTGAGAATATTGATACTGGCTCTTGCTTGCGCATATATTGTGATAATAATACACATACGCAGGCTTTTGAATGCAGTTTCGCTGCACCGACCATGCAAATGTATAAGTATGCTTTATCGACCATAAAATACGGTACTTAAAGAATTACTACAACGAAATTTCGGCGCTTATGTCTTGGTCTATATGTAGGGTGTGTACTTTCCGGTGTTTATTTGTGAGAAAAATCGGCGGATGTTTTTCGGTGTTTATTTATTTTCAAAACACCGGTGTATTTCGGTGGAACGTCTCACGACGAGGCTAAAAACGGTGATTATCGGTGAAAAAAAGCGATTGATCACAGACAGAGAGTTCCAATTTTATTCACATAGTTCATACACTTCTTCTCTAGGAAGCAACTATTTCTCACACTTGGTTATTCTAGTAGATGCAAGCATGCTTTCATGCTTGCATCTACACGCAAGGAACGTGCTGCCGTCATTGCAGCGCGTTCCTTGCGGTTCACAACCCGCAATTAAGAAAACGCACGCTCCTGTACGACACGGACGTTGGCAGTGTCTTCCAGGAACCACAGCAACCTCTGAATACATGGCTTCCACCGACATCACTTGGCCAGACACAATGTGGAAAAGGCACGTGAGAGCCTACCCTCCACTGTGTTAATTTTTCCACAAAAGGGGGCCATGGGAGACACAATAGGGGAAAGGCGTGTGAGAGCTTAGCTTCCACTGCGTTCACCAGACGCTTTTGACCCCCAGAAAGGAGGGCGGACTGACGCCACCTGCATGCCATGTATAAACACTGGAAGAATGCAGGATCCACGAGATAACACGTTTGACGAACCTCTACGGGGAAAGGGTTTCGCTAGGTCGGAAACTAGCAACGATCGGTGTTTTTCGGTTTTAACCAGGGCGAAAATATCCAACCACCGGTATTTTTCGGTTTTAACCGATTTTATATTTTCGTCACCGACGGATGTTTATCGGTGTTTTTCGGTTAAAACCGGAAAATGCACACCCTATCTATATGTGTTCAAGGGAGCAGTATCACATCGGGCACACCAATCTCTCGTTGAAAAAGACACGAAAAGGAATTTTAAAACAAATGAATCGATTAGCAAATGGCACCTGGTGGATGTTGCTAAAGCCCCGTTTGTAATGCCCGTCGAGGAACCTTGACAGGTAGTGACAATGTCTGTCTCACCTAGAACTATACATGCCGTGAACCTGACGTCATCCCGCCCTGCTCTCTGGCCACCACGAGAAAAGAGAGGACGAAGGAACTCCCCTCTCACCGGGACTTTCTTTTGTGTGTCCCAGATGCCGCTATGGTCCCTCTACAAGATTATAGAAGATTAACACATCACTCAAAATTCATACAAAAGCAGCTTTGCGGTTAGTTGTGGTGGCCTGATCGCTGGTGTGCTTCGGCCGCTTTGGTGGCTGAAACGGGTAAGACATTTTGCCGACGTCGTCCTCGCCGCAGCTTTGCTCGTCCCGAGACAATATACGTCATGATTGCGCCGGATGTCGCACGTTCTCCGCTGGCTGCTCTCCGAGCGCTTGCCAGAGTGGGCCGTCTATAACGAATATTGTGGATCATCTTCAGCCTATTTCTGAACACGACTGGCATATTTCAAATTTCGTTCAAGTATCCCTTTCAAACAACTATAGTCAGCGAGTGACCTGCTGTTTCGACACCTGGCGTCCGATTTTGGACTCCGGTGAAAGCAAGATCTTTCTCTTCTCCTTGCTAAATATAGTGGGCTAGGTATTGCGGTCTCCTGGCCAAATATAGTGGAAAAGCCTAAATTGCTGTGTTTTATAAACTCAGTTTCACCGCTAAATTTAGTGGGAAACCCTGAATTGGTGTGGAATTGCTCACCCATTCAATTTCCTACTAAATTTAGCAGGAACAGCTAAATTGGCGTATTGTCACAAAAACAGCGCTGTGCTGAGGCAACCTGTGAGTGCCGAGCTCGAAAGACATCTGAAGAGGTGCAAAACATCCCAAATGGATTTGCATTACATTTTATTTGGCAGCAGCCAGAGGAGGGAATAGTACTTTTTGTGAGAATTTCTCACCAGTTCATGGGTGGCGAGAGAGTTTTAACGACCTCTAATGTGGTTATTCCTAGTGCTCATTTAACTACCAGTAGATTTCAGCTTGTGTACAGCATCAGAACTTGGGATATGCAAAGAAAGGACGGATTGTTGATCGCTTCAAACGATAGTCTGAAGTGATATTGGACGGAATCTGGAATTGTGATTGTTTCAAACGATCTCAGTTTAAGCTTGCATCCAATATCACCTTACCGCGGCACTCGGTTTCTAGCAGATGGCCGGTTCCATTAGCCAGTGACTTAAAGCTGTTTTCTTGTTTTATTTTCCTCTGAATGATGCTTCATAGCAGACAAGCCCCATTATTCACTCGCATTGGCAGGCAAACTGGTTGCTAACAATATCATAACTCGCTCCACGAGAGCCTAATTAGATCTCGCTCTCACGGTGACCATACTCGGACTGCTGGATTGGTATTCAGGAGCTTTGAAGGGTGTAAGGTATAGAGAATAATATGGGGGAAAAAATCAAAATAAAAGTTTTGTTTCAGTTTAATGACCTGTGCCATAGTGATCTCTCTTCCTCTTCCTGTTGTTTGCAAACGTTGCCTGCACCATTGCTCCATGTCGTTGGTGTGCAATCTTGATATGCCTGTCATTGGCTGGTCACCTGAACGGCCCCTCAATGGCCATTAGTTTATTTAATAACCAGTAACAGGTGACTGGAGAAAGTGACCTATGTTGATTCATGAGACACTGACTATGCAAAATACCCCCCCCCCGCCCCCCCTCCCTTCTTGCACATGGTAGTGAGCCACTTTTGCAGTCCTGAAAACACTTTTAGCGGCCAAAAGCATCGTATAGTCGTTCGTTGGCTGCTCGTGGGTCTCAAGGTCTGGTTAGGCCGAGCCACTGCCAAGGAGCCGCATACAGTTATGAACAATTTTGAGCAAACGCGTTTCCCATCCATCGATTTCGAATTCACTGCATTCGGGTCGTGTTTTCACTCTTGGAACGTTTGCTATACTCTGTTCACCCTTCAGCTGAAACTACAGCCAAAGCTACGAGCGCGAGCTAGCCCGCGCTCCTGGCTTTGAGACAGAAAAAGAAGTATGTCTTGAAATTTCACATAATAAAATTGGCCTGCTCAGTGCACATCCGGCGAAAGGTTGAACTTTCTATGTGCAGGCGCCGAATTTTTCGGCTCGTGTTACAGCGTGAGGTCCTACAAAGTTGACTTTTTGTTTTTGTTGTTTTCTTTAGGGATTGGCACCGTTTCTTAGATCAGCTCATCACTCATTCGGGCGTTTGATACTTGCACCTAACTTGGTTGGTAATTGTTTGAGGAATAATTACTTTGTGGAGTTAACATTGCGATTAACTTCCCTGGTAGGCCGGGTTTGGGGCGCTGTTGAAATGGTACAGAAAATCTACGGTTTACAATAGCTGCATTGTTCACCTTTGCATGTTCATAAACTAAAAATATTTCTTTTTGCTACATCTAAGTTTGCAATGATAAACACGATTTAAGGAATGAACTGCTGTGTTTCTAGTCTTCGAAGGCAGTAATGCAGGGGCTTGATGCTGTAGTTTGACGAGTCCGTTTACTGTGTTTGCAAAGGAACTGCCTGCTCAGCTATGCATCATTGTTCGAATAACTCTACCAGCTTGTAAATGCATTGACAGCTTTCCTAGCCATGAGTGACTTTATGCGATCTTTTCTGCTTTGGCGAACCAATGAATAAGTAGTGTGGGGGGGGGGGGGGGGGGGGATCGGAACAAACCAAACACAAACGACACGGGCAGACTGTTGTCTGGCCCCTTGTGGTTATTAACATCTTTTTTTTTATGCCATCATCCGTGGGCATTGCGAAGACAGCTTAAACAGCGCAGTACGGGCAGAGCATTCCGAACAGATTGCAATCCGAGCGCCGTTTCCTTTTTCCGGCCGTGCTGCGAGCGAGCCAGGCTGAACAACACGTCGCAGAAGTATCGAGGAAAAGCGGCGACGTGCCGTTATGCGTTCACGTAAGCGCGAACTCGCGGAGGGGGAAACATTCCACGCGGCTTTTGTGTTGTTGCGTTAATGGGCGCCGTAGGTGCCGTAAGTGCGTATACCTGCTCACGCACGCGCAAGCTCCGCCACGCAAGCGCCGCTGACGAGCGCTCGTGTCTCCTTCCGGCGTTTGTTGTCGTGGATGGAGAAGGGAACCGAAACCGATTCGAATCGGCCGCCATTATTCGTAGCAGACGGCGCTCCCGTCATTCCTCGCGCGCGCTCCGATGATTCATGGGAACGCGACCGTAGCGCCGCGGGTCGGTCGTTTATTATTATCATGTTTTGTTCCTTCCGCTCGTTGGCGGCTTTCGCTCGTGTCGGTCGGGTGGCTCGGCGTTTCTGCTTTACGTAGCGTCGTCGGGGTGTTTGCTTCGTCTGTGTTCGCGTGTACTGATTCTCGATCGCCTGGTGAGTTGCCCCGAGGTAGTCGAACGGAACTCGGGGTGCGTGGTTTGTTTGGTTTTGAGCAGTCTTGGGTTCTCGAAGCGAGCAAGTCGGGTTGATGCCGTGGGTCGTCGTGGGCTAGGCAGGCGCTGTGCCAGCGGCAAGCAGCAGCAAGCACTGCGGCGGACTTTCGTCGCTTCCCGCTCCGATCTGGATGTGTCCTGCCCGGACGTCGCAAGTCGGCGACGGGGACTCGCGGTCGCCGGTGACCGGGCAGCAGCGGCTCCTTTTTCGCGCGCTACATCGCCGACAATCTCCCAGCAGCTATCGCGACGGAAGCTCGCCGCCGTCCTACTCAAGTCCTCGGAGACCGACGGAGTGATGTGGTACCCATCTGCCGCCGGTTCGGCCGCTGCTGACTCGCTGGCTCGCCAGGATCTCGTGTTCTAGTCCCGTGTCTGTTTCCTTCGGGGTGCGTGTGCGTGCAAGCCGCTTCGAGGTCTCCAAGACGTCCGTCGGTTGCTTCTGTAAGCGCGGGGAGCGAGCGAGGGAAGGAGACGGCCGGCCGACCAAAATGGATATCAAGTTGCTTCACAAGAGCAACACCTTCAGCAACTTCGGCAGCCAGAAGCTGGGCAGCTGGTTCTCGACCTTCAGCATCGCCAGGCGGAAAAACAACAACGGCGCCTCGCTCAAGAATTCCAAGAGTCTGAGTGAGTCGCTGCTTGTCCATTTCGCCCGATATTGTGTTTGCTTCCGTTTTTTTTTTTTTTTTTTTTAACAATTTATTTAGGTTGTGGTTTACAGTCTGTGACTTCTGGCGGTTTTCTTTCGTTTTTCTGCATCGGTAAAACGGGCTACAAGCGGCGCGACGCTCGTAACGTGTGGTGGGGGTTATGTTTTGTTTCCTCGGTGTGAGGAAAGACGCCAGCGGGGATCTTGGGCTGTCGGATTCGCCGATCCGGCCGCCTCGGGTCTCTGCCGATCGATAGCGGCATCCCTAGGAGGACGCGTGTGCGCTGGAGGAGACGGTTGCGTGGAGACAGGAAGAAGGCCAGCCCTTGGAGGAAGTGCAGCAGCCCACGCCGAGATAGAAGAAGAAAAGAATACTAATAAATATTCCTATTCTGCTTATTATTGCATTAGGCCTCATTGCCCGATAGGTTTTCATTACGTTACCGATGCGGTGGCGCATCTGGGTTGCGTCAATTTTCGTATAAAAACACAATCCTCAAAAAAAAGAAAAGGAACAAAAAAAGAAAACGCGTATTGAGAGAGGGTAGCGTCGTGGTATGCGATTCAGTGTGTGTGTGTGCCGCATATGAAGTTACTTGGCTCGCACTCACTGGGCTGCCGGTTTTTCCCACGCGTATGGGATGCGATTTGAGCGTCTGGAGGAGCATTCAAACGGTCAGACCGCATATATGGCCTTTGACGTCATTGTTTTGTAGAAGCCGTGTTTTCTCTCTAGCTCTCTCTCTCTCTCTCATAGAAACAGTTGGTTGGAGGTTAATGTGTGTTCCTGTACCGACAGGCAGGACGGATTGGGTTGACGGGGCGGAAATGTTGGCGTTGTAACTTGAGTTATCTTTTTGCTTTCATTTATTCCACCGGAAGTGTGGTTTTTATACAGCGCTCAGTCCTAATTGCCCTCTCCCCTTCAACGGCCGGACGTCAATACACACACGAGTGGCAAACGGATGTTGGAGACGTCGAGTTCCTGACTTGTAGTATTTGCCTTCTCGGAATCAGCTCTGAATCACTCGAGTGAATGCTCGCCGAAGCCCTCCCCTTCTCCTGTCCCTGCTAATAATAACAGGGACGATTTTACTTCTCGCCGACAGCACCGGAGAAGGTTTTCCCCTAGTTGCTGGTTATACAACGTTCGCGTAAAAAAAAAAAAAAAAAAAAAAAGCTGCGTTGTTTGGTTATTTCTAGAACTTTCCTACTGTGATGTTACGATGCGTCGCAATATTTTGTTCTGTTGATGGTGTTGAGGCTTTAGAATGGAGCTGCTGAAATGGGTGGTGGTAAAGCAAGCCCGTCGAAAGAACGTTGTCCATTTATTCGAGGCGTCCATGTTGGTGGTTCCGTGCTCAAGTATTCTTGGCGGTTGTTCTCCGGAGAAACGGCAATGCGGAGGAACCTCTTTCTCCTGAATAAAAGAGTGTTCACCGGACGAATTGACGACTCCGTCGGCCGGGCGCCTGGCTTTAATTAATTAGAGCGCGCGACGCTACAAGCCCGCCGTGGTCGCGTGTTCGTAAACACGGGATGTGGAGAATTTCCTACGTTTGTCTGCCTTTGCTTTTGTTCTTCTTTCCTCTTGCCTTTATTATTATTTCTTTTTACGAGCATTGTAATGGTCGGTTAACGGGCTCGTTTGATGGTAGCATTTTATTGGGCGCTGCGTGGAGAGCAGGGATGCAGTAAAGCGATAAAACCCCTCCTGTGCGAATTCGGTTTTTGTTTGTGTTCTATTTGTCATGTTCTATTTGCGGGAGTGCCTTTTCGCCACCTGTGTAGTCGGGAAAAGAGGTCACACGCTGAGTTCATTATTATTTGCGGGGACATTACTCCAGGTGCATTTAATTAATTTGTTTCGCTCTTCGACCTCTTTGTAGCGAGCGGGGGTCTTTGCTATGTAATTGATACTGTAGTAGTTCTAATGAAATGCGTGTTTGCGTGCACGTCTTATAGTCCTGTGCAGACCTCATCGGGTTCCATCGCCCCGTCACGTCGCTGTACGTGAGGTGTACAGTGCTCGTCACACTTGCACATAAAAAAAGCGCGTACTTTTTTTTTGTCTTTTTTGTTGTGGGCTCGCTATACCGGTAACAGCGGGATAAAAGTTCCGTGACCTAGGGCTTTGTGGAGTGCTACTGCACGGAGCGGCGCTTTTGTGAGATACGACACGGTTCCCGTGTTCTCGATACGTTTGGTGTGTACTGTACATAACGCGAGACCGTTATGCAAGATTTACACCGCACTAAACTTATAAGGAGTATTCACTGGCGGCCATATCCGTGTGCGCTGCTGCTGAGCGCGTGCTGACGGCGAGCTTCCGCAGTCCTTTTGGAGCGTGCATTTAGCACCATCAAGGTTGCCGGTCTTAGCAGCCTATTAATGTGGGCTCGTTCTGAGCACGCGCTCTAGACAGCACTCACAAATATGGCGTCCAGTGAATACCTCCTATAAGCAGTTTTTTTTTTTTTTAACTGTTAGTGTGGTGGGAACTGCTCATTTTGGCCACTAACCTCAGCATGGAAAATTTGGTGCTTGCCAGAGGATGCCCTTCGGAAGTAAAACGCGAAGAAGCGTCGATGTCGTTTATGCGCTAACAGTGTCGCACACTGTAGATGTGCCTTGGTTCGGAATGAACGCTAGGCTTCAGTGGGTCCCCGAGTCTTACACAACAGCGCAGCCGAGCGATTTAGGGGCGATTTCATTCGTAATTACCGCATTCTCCTGCCGGGAGACGCGGGAAATGTGGGAAAAGTAATGACAGTGGACGCGACTGTTCAATAGCCGCGGCTGTATAGTGGTTATGCGATGGGGCAGTTTTTAATTGAGCCTGTATCGAGGGCGGGACAAGTGGTTGAAGTTGGGCGGAACGTTTGTATAGGGTGCGGTGAAGTTCGCGCACGAAAGATTTGTCTCATTACTCACGTCCCTTGACTCGCGCGTGTGCGGGGCCACGTGGCCCGCGGCACTATACTTCTCGGTGAGCAGCTAGAATAGACGGATCTCACTAAGCGTTGGGCGCAGGCGTGAAGCCGCCATATCTTTAGTCTCCTACATACTGACAAAGCCTGGCAGTTTATCGGGAGAAGCGGTTGCCTAAATGGAAAAGGTGAAGCGGCAGGCAACGGATGAGAAGAGAGAAACGTGACTGGCGCCCCGCTGCGTCGAGACGCCGAAACAGACTTCTTCCGAGTGAACAAGTGTGTGTTCGGGTCCTCGCCGCTGCAAAAGCTGTGCGCTGACGCCCAGGTTCCACCTTAGGTTCCCCGAGAAATGGCGCTTTGATGCTCCGTGCTACCAGATCCTCGCGCTCCAAATCTGCGACTGGGCACTCTGGCTGCGTCGTCGAACTGCCAGGCTTTGTGAGTATAGAGGAGGCTATGCTTTAGTTCACAAGAGGCAGGCGCCAGTGGCCCCAAACGGCTCGTGCCGTCTCAAGCTCTGCAGGCGCAGAGCTCCAGTACGATTGTCGCACGTGCAAAAAGACCAAAGTTCCCTGAATGCATTGGGGGAGCGGTGGCGTAACCGAACTGATTGCGAAAATACCGGCGAACGCTCCGACCGGGAGTCGTTCTTCTCGAGTTCGTAATCTGCCATGGAATGTGTCGTTATAAACCTTTTTTTTTTTTTTTTTTTTCTCCGAATTAGTCGGGTGATTTTTCGAAAGAAATAGTCGCGTGAAAACCCGTGGGAAATTTTTCGAAGCGTAAACCCGCTCGAGAGCCCCATGTTCTAGGCTGCCGGTTATGTGGCAGTTTTCCGGATAATAGAGTCAGTCGGGCGGAGCGAGATTGAGCGGAGTTATAGAATTCTGCCGTGCAACAAACAGGCTCGCAGCGAGGAGGCGCGAGACCATGTAATGCTTGCATCGAACCTAAAGCGGTACTGCAGCGTTCGATCGTGCAGGAGCCAGGGTCATTGGCGAGCGTGTGTCAGCATCTGTCTACGCGGGATAACAAAGCGAATGAAGGATCTAAGAAGAAGCCATTTAAATGAACGGAAAAATGCAGCTCGCGCTTTAAAGGTATTGTAAAAACAAAACCCATAAGAAATGTCTTTCTAGTTGCTCTATTGTTCTGGTTATTTTTTTCGAGAATTGATATCCACCAGTGAAATGCTGCTAGCTTGGCGTCTGCGAGCAATGTGAAGGAGCGTAAAACGCGACCGAAAAATATTCGATTTTGCTCGCCAGAGGCGCTCCTCAAACTAGAGAGCTACAGGCCTGTGGACCTTTTCCATAGCTGTCTGAGAAATGTCCGCAGTAAAGACAAAGGCACAGGCGCGTGAGCCTATATCAAAGCAGAATGCTCTTGTTTGTACGAGTACTCGTGCATAGAAGGCACTTTTTAAAGCTTCGCGCTCGTGCCTTTGTCAGCACTAAAGATATTTGTGAGATGGAGGGGACAAGGCACCGGAATAAGGAAGGCAGCGACATCATTTCCCTCGCGCTCTGGTGTGCGCACTTTTTTATTTTTACTTTTTGCTCTTCCTTTGAGACCACATAGCACCGAGCTAAATCCAAGCGCAATCGAAGGAACACGAAATTATTTACATTCTAAGCCCACTGTCACGTGTACCTTCTGCGTTCAATTAAACGAGTCGCAAATGAAGACGATACAAGCCGTGACTTTGCGTTTTTGGCATTGCTCGATTGGTGACACGGGCTTCTAGAGTCTCCTTGACAGCATCATAGAAGACATTCCTCCTCTTCCCGGTGCACAGGTTTGTTGCTCTTTCGCACTAGCGCGCCGGCGGTAGCGCCGTCTGGATCCCTTCGCGATAGCAGGTGGCATTCTTCGAACGATTGTCCTTTTCCCTTTTTCTGAAGTCCCTACCTAGACTGGAGCTTCCTGCAAGTAGCGACATTCTTTGAAGCGCCGACTGTTTAACGGTGCAGGTTTCAGGAAGCGAATGGCGGCGCACAGCAGGAGACTGACCTGTATGCCGCCATTTGCTTCCAGCGGAATGT